CCTCACTGTCTAGTTGGAATTTGCATAAAAAGGTTTCGGTAAGAGGGAAAAGAAGAGAAAAAGCTCATTCGGTAGTCGCATTTGAACGGTGGTGGAGTTTGTCACTCTCTCCCTCATCTCATAGAAAAGAACCAAGAGTTCCCAAATGGGATAATAACTGTGTTGTACCTCGCTAAATGGCTAAAATTCAAAAATAGACAATATTTATAAAACACATAATAATAAGTCAACCAAACAATGCACTATAGATAACATAACAGCAGTGCAATCGGACAGAGAGATCGGAGCACGAGAATCAACTGTAACAGAAAGAACTCACATAAAAACTCTACTCAATTCAAAAAATAATAATCATTTCATATATTATCTGCATAAATTGTATTGAACAACTATACATTTTCAATCAACTAATACAACTTATAACATAGTGGGAGCAAACCGAACAATACGATAACTGTACTGTTTACTAAATAACAGAATTTAAAAGAGTCTGAAGATGCTCCAGATTTTTGTGCAATGTGTCGATGTACTCGTTCAGTTGGTCGGTAGGGCTAACCCGAAAATGCCGTTTTTTAAAGCCAATTTCCAAAGCTTTAAGGATGCCTTTAGTTGGGTCAAACTGTTCACGAGCCAATTCGATCTTGTTTGAGAGATCCCATTTATCCAGATAAACTTTTGCGATGTTCAACCACGATTTGTCGTCGTGTTGATTTTTCACATCAGAATATTGTCTCTTCCATCCATTGTGTGGAAAAGTTGTGATTAGTCTGCTTTTGATATCTTCATAAACCTGGAAATCGCCTGTCGGGGCAAAATCAACTATTGCTGCGCTCTGCGTTCCTTTCCACCTTCCTAAAATCAATTATATTGTTGTTTTCAAACTGTAAAACAAACCGCAGTTCTGTTCATGTAAATCAGAAATGAATAGGAGCACTCTTAGCATAACTAATTGGACAACGACGTCCGCGCTAAGGCTGTTCTCATCAATAACGTTTTCAAGGAGTTCAAATCTGTCGTCCCATCGAGTAGCAATGTATCTAAAGTATGCAAAGATATATATGTATGTATACACAAATCTGTAAAATCCTTACGTGCTCGTTTTGGTTCCAGTCGATATGGAAGGAGGAATAATATGAGATTCGGGGCCGACACCGATTAATGCTAATAATTTATAGCAGAAGAATTCGGAGACGTCCGGCACCTGGCCTGAGCTCAAACCTTTTGGGCCATAATGGTGGCACCTAAACAGAAATGGATCTTGAATGGATGAATGAAAAACCTACTTTACATTGTATTTTGTAATAGAGTCTTCTCCATGAATCTGGACAAACGCAAGTGTGTTTGTTGGTCTTCCTCCTAAGTCCTCGTCTCGTTCTTCAAAATAACAAGTGAATTTGGAATCTTTGTTTCCTCTGCTCTGATCATGGAGATTGTGGAAATACTCCTCCGTCGCTTTACGAATCAATCCCACGTCACCATCAGTCCAAGCAGCGACTTTAGTATGATTTTTTCTGCGAAAGGTGTTGAATTGGACGTAGACCTTGAAGAATCCGCTTTCGGTTAAAAGTTCATGATGTTGAACAGCCTCCTTTGCGATTTCAACTTTGTTCGAGCACCGCTGTAACACTTGCTCAACACAGTCTTTGTACAGGTTCCACCATGGAAGGTCTGCATGTTTCTGAAGATAAAATAACGAATAATAATGATGTAATAGAGTGTTAAAGTCTCAAAAAATATTAATTTCATCTTCGAAATTAAACTTTGATAATTTGAGAAATGAATATGAAGAAATAGTTTGTTCTCGTCGTTTTAACATATCAGAATGACATCTCAAAATAACTAACCACAATCAACGTATCAGCATTTTGAATTCCTGCATTTTTCAATGAACCAGTTAACATATCAATGCGACGAGCATTGCCATCGAATATCCGTTGGCAATCTATCGCAACTCGGAAATTAGAGAGAATTCTATCTTGAAGCTGCTCGATTGTCGCCTAAAACACTGAATTGTATTTATGTATGAAAAAACATAAATGAGAAAATGAGATTCTTATGTGTAATTGCAACTTCCCGTATTGACCACACCAATTATTGCCGAATAACACATAAGTGCCGAAAATGAATGTACTCATATGTAAATGGAAAACATACCTCATCTTCAAATACCAACTTCAAGGAATCGTGAGATTTATCTTCGTGATCATTCAAGGTAACGAAAATCAACATTTCAATCTGAATCATTTAAACATTAATACAAAGCTAATTATAACATTCATGAAGCAAATGAAAAAGAAGTCTCTTTTATATTCACAAAAACTACTGAAGGAATGCCATTTGGCGATTTCGCGCCTTCTTTCGCGTCTCTGCTCACCTAGGGGTCACTCACACATAGAATTGTGTATTGGTGAAGATGGGGAAGAATGGTATCAACATGCGTGTCAGAAATTAATTATGAACATGAATAATTTGTGATCAAGAGGTTCTGATTAGACAATATCGGAAATCAAATTATGCTAAAATGAATGAAACTATATGTGAATCATGTAGTGGTTCTTCTTCACATTGCCTTTTACCTTCTATTATCAAAAAACTGATTGATCAACTGATTGATAAATAATGATAAAAAGTGTTTTATGTCAAGTATTTTGGCTCATTTACATCCTGCATGTTTCAGAAGTTTATGAATGCTCGAATGATTTAAAATTTGGAGATCTAACTTGATCAAATGAAAATTCGAGAAATAGATAAGTTGTGAAGAGTTGAATGATCTTGTGTTCAATGTGTTAGAATGCACTGAAAAGGACAAATAAATGCATTACGTCCTTCAACAACAATTACAGATGACAATAGTAAAGTTATCAACTGATTAGATCATGTAACACATTATTCTCTAATTAAAAATATTGATAAACTTCTGAAGAAATGAGAAGATCATCAATCGAACGTTCTGTGTTAGATGATGTCATTGCTTTTGCAATATTTAAATATGAAAAATGAATCTAGATCAAATTATCTAAGACATTCAGATGATTATGCTAAGAATGAACCTATTGCACATAATTTATTTAAAAAACAAAATGAAACCAATGAAACGGGGTCGGCCGACATGAAGTGCAGGAAGAATTCATCGCAAACCTGTAAGAAGACTGTTTGGCTTGTTGTCGTTGTTGA